ATGAAGTGGTGAAGAAATTTGGCATGAAACAATGTTAGGTTGACCATTCTGTATTCAGCTATGAGTCCACCAGTGCTGGGAAGATCTTATTGGTGGTATATGTAGATGATATTGTTATCATTGGCAGTGATAGATCAGGGATTGACAGGTTGAAGACTTACTTGCATGATCACTTCCAAACAAAGGATCTTGGCAAATTAAGATACTTAGGGATAGAAGTAGTGAGGTCCAAGAATGGTATTAATCTGTGCCAGAGGAAATATGTTCTTGATCTGCTATAGGAGATAGGGTTGTTAGGTGCCAGACCAGCTGAAACACCCATGGAACCAAATGTCAAGTTGAGTAGTGATGCAGGTGAGGAGTTTGAAGATCCTAGAAGGTATATTGGTATATTGTGATAATCAAGCTACAGTTCATATCTCCTCTAATCCAGTGTTTCATGAAAGAACAAAGCATATAGAAGTTGATTGCCACTTTGCACGTGAGAAGGTGCTTAATGGAGAAGTACAACATATGTGAACATAGGAAATCAATGGCAGATTTGTTTACCAAAGGGTTGAGTCGGGGAAGAGTGGACAACATATGTAACAAGCTGGGACTATATGACACATACTCACCAACTTGAGGGGGAGTGTTAAAAGTCGGTTATAGAGGGGTAGTATAGGCAATTTACATTAAGTTATATGTTAAATGTAATTACAAGTAGATCTTAAGTTAGATGTGTTAGACAGTGTATGCCCTTAGCTCCAATCAGAATGATGTACATTATGACATTTAATGTAAATGACTAAAGTACATATTTGATTCATGTTATTATGGTGTGTTTCAGTGTAATACCCTTAAACAGGACACATATGAGACTCGTGTTAGTTTAGAATCTTCACAGCCGTTGGATAGATCTGGAGAGATTTATCCTGCCAAGGCTGACACTGATGTGCCGCCAAGTGGGTTAGGGTGGCCTGCCTTAGCTACCAGGGTGAGACCTGAGGTACATGCAGTGTAGGTTTTCATGAAACCCTAAACCAGACCAAAACTCCAGTATTGCCCTGAACCTTGGAGATAGATGGGCAAAACTGAAATGTTACACCTGACCCCTAGACTCGATTATGATACTACACTAGGTGTCGGATTGGGCTGTCTTTGATATGCCAATCAGTGAGATCCTTAGAGGGGGTCAAAACCTGGGTATGTTGGGACAGTCCGAGAATTCATCTGAGTGGGT